ACCCATATTTGAAAATGAATATTTATATATTAATAATAAATCTAAAATACACTAAGCTTTTTTATATCATGGATATTGTTACAATGACTGTATTTAGAGATCATCAGCTTCATTACAAGATCACTGTTCACACACAAACAAGTCCAGGAACATGAGAAATGTACAACCACTTAGCTCTTCTATTTTCTAAAGACCAAGATGAAACAGAAGCCAAATAGATTTCTGATGAATACTTGAGCCAAAGCTCAAATTTGTTCCATCTCTTCCCACTATCAAACATGATAGGTATAAAACAAAAAGATCCAGAACTTCAGAAACTCAATGATACACATTTTTTCTATTTAACATTATGTGTCCTAATTATTTCCTATAATCATCTCTGTGTCTTGGATTTTCAAGCAATAAATGAAATATATGCCAATAAAACATAATGACACAATGATAATCATTGTATAAAAATTAATTACAAAAAAATTAATTACAGGAGTTTGCAGATTCCTTTATTATTTATGGTAAGAATTTAATTAAGGTTATTATTGGTACCAAGAATAGTGATGAAGTGAAAACAAAGGTACTATGTTTGACTGGAGGGGACACTTAATTTATATTTTTAACATCTTTATCTTAAAAAACACACTAACAAAAAATCTTTCCCTCAAGGTATTGGGATCATGTGAGTGGACAATGCAGAATCTCAAACCTAACTTTCAGCGATAACATTTCTGTTGTTGGTTTCTTCTTTTACAGTTATAACCACCTATGAGTGTAGAAAACTTTTAGATAGTCTCAGTTGCTCTCCACATTATAATGCACAGAATCTGCCTATTACAGTCACTTTCCGTTGCTGCTGCTGCTGCTAAGTCGCTTCAGTCGTGTCTGACTCTGTGTGACCCCACAGACGGCAGCCCACCAGGCTCCCCCGTCCCTGGGATTCTCCAGGCAGAACACTGGAGTGGGTTGCCATTCCTTCCCCAATGCATGAAAAGTGAACAGTGAAAGTGAAGTCACTCAGTCATGTCCGACTCTTCGAAATCCCATGGCCTGCAGCCCACCAGGCTTCTCTGTCCATGGGATTTTCCAGGCAAGAGTAATGGAGTGGGTTGCCATTGCCTTCTCCATTTCCGTTGCTAGAATAACCTATATCCCCTAAAAAGCAGTGAAGAAAGAGGAATAAGCAATAAACCAAACCTTCACCACCTGCATAGAAGTGTTTGTCCTCAGCAACCCTCCCAAGATCTTATCTTCGTCTCATGGTTCCCTCGTGTATTCCGATATACAGCTCCAGCCAGCTTAGCCTTGAAAACTTCCCCCTGACCAGGGTTTTAAAGTATCACGTAAACTGTGCAGAGCTAAATAATTCCTCCCTCAAACACATCATGCATATATAAATAAGAACCAAGATTTTATAAATGTCACATAGTAAAAGTAGAGCCTATGCCCTATTTGCAAAAGGACATTCTAACATGCTTTAAGAAAAAAAGGAATGCTATTATGAGTAGCAAATCAGTCAGTTGTGTTCACTACTTACAGGGGATCTTTATTCTTCTGTTGGTCCCTCTATCCTGTATGAGTGCCATCGTCCCTGAAACAGCATTTACCACATGCCTACTCTGTGCCAGGAATTGTTCTTCATGGTAACACAGGTTACAAAAATGACTAAGGGCCTACTGGAGCATGTGGTGGCTGCAGGGAGTGGGAGGAGGAGCACGGAAAAAACCAAAATGACTAAGAGTCAGATACTGCCCTCCAAAGCCTTGGAGATGGCCTTGAACAGAGTGGGGATTCAATGTTTCATCAATGAAAAAAAATTAATTACAGAAGTTTTCATATCCCTTTATTATTTATGGCTATTAGAAGTTTCAAAGTCACAACTAAGTCAATAAAATTAAATCTCATTTTGGAGAAAAAAATCACATTACTCCTAGGTCCTATTGACCAAGAAGTTTTTCTCACAAGGAAAAATAAAATGATTTTAAATCATTTAATTTTACAACTTTTTTGCATGTTTCAAAATACCCAGGTAACAATCTGCAATAGAAATCTGCTTTGGAAGCCTGTCATACAAAAATGTGTGTGAAATGTGTGTGTGTGTGTCTGTGTATGTATGTGTGTCTGTGTGTGTTTACTGGGCCACCGAAGCATTCAGTAATTGTATTCCTTATGGTGGGCAAAAATGGGAAAAAGTAAAGCGACACAGAAGTTTCAGTTCTGTTCAGCTGTTCAGTCGTGTCCGACTCTGCGACCCCATGGACTGCAGCACGCCAGGCCTCCCTGACCATCACCAACTCCCAGAGTTTACTCAAACTCATGTCCATTGAGTCAGTGATACCATCCAGCCGTCTCATCCTCTGTCGTCCCCTTCTCCTCCTGCCTTTAATCTTTCCCAGCATCAGGGTCTTTTCCAAGGAGTCAGTTCTTCGCATCAGGTGGCCAAAGTATTGGAGTTTCAGCTTTGGCATCAGTCCTTCTAATGAATACCCAGGACTGATCTCCTTTAGGATGGACTGGTTGGATCTCCTTGCAATCCAAGGGACTCTCAAGAGTCTTTCCCAACACCACAGTTTAAAAGAATCAATTCTTCAGCACTCAGCTTTCTTTATAGTCCAACTCTCACATCCGTACATGACTACTGGAAAAACCATAGTTTTGACTAGATGGACCTTTGTTGGCAAAGTAATTCCTCTGATTTTTAATATGCTCTCTAGGTTGGTCATAGCTTTTCTTCCAAGGAGCAAGTGTCTTTTAATTTTGTGGCTGCAGTCACCATCTGCAGTGATTTTGGAGCCCCAAAATAATAAAATCTCCTACTGTTTCCACTGCTTCCCCATCTATTTTCCATGAAGTGATGTGACCAGATACCATGATCTTAGTTTTCTGAATGTTGAGTTTTAAGCCAACTTTTTCACTCTCCTCTTCCACTTTCATCAAGAGGTTCTTTAGTTCTTCTTCACTTTCTGTCATAAGGGTGGTATCATCTGCATATCTGAGGTTATTGGTATTTCTCCCGGCAATCTTGATTCCAGCTTGTACTTCATTTTTCATGATGTACTCTGCATATAAGTTAAATAAGCAGGGTGACAATATACCACCTTGACATACTCCTTTCCCAATTTGAAACCAATCTGTTGTTCCATGTCCAGTTCTAACTGTTCAGAACAAGACCGAGTTTCCACCTCAGTCAGTCTCTCCCTTCAGGAAGCTTCCATAAGCCTCTTATCCTTCTCCATCAAAGGGCAGACATACTGAAAACCACAGTCACAGAAAAGTAATGGATCTGCTCACATGGACCACAGCCTTGTCTAACTCAGTGAAACTATGAGCCATGCCGTGTAGGGCCACCAGAGATGGACAAGTCATGGTGGAGGGTTCTGACAAAACGTGGTCCACTGGAGAAGGGAATAGCAAACCACTTCAGTATTCTTGCCTTGAGAACCCCATGAACAGTAAGAAAAGGCAAAAAGATAGAACACTGAATGATGAACTCCCCAGGTTGGTAGGTGCCCAATATGCTACTGAAGATTGGTGGAGAAATAACTCCAGAAAGAATGAAGAGATGGAACCAAAGCAAAAACAACACACATTTGTGGATGTGACTGATTATGGAAGCAAAGTCCAATGCTGTAAAGAGCAATATTGCATGGGAACCTGGAATGTTAGGTCCATTAATCAAGGCAAATTGAAAGTGGTCAAACAGGAGATGGCAAGAGTGAACATTGACATTTTAGGAATCAGTGAACCAAAATTGACTGGAATGGATGAATTTAACTCAGATGACCATTTTATCTACTACTGTGGGCAGGAATCCCTTAGAAGAAATGGAGTAGCCCTCATAGTCAACAAAAGAGTTCAAAATGCAATACTTGGATGCAATCTCAAAAGCGACAGAATAATCTCTGTTCGTTTCCGAGGCAAACCATTCAATCTGACAGTAATCCAAGTCTATGCCCTGACCAGTAATGTTGAAGAAGCTGAAGTTGAATGGTTCTATGAAGACCTACAAGAACTTCTAGAACTAACACCCAAAAAGGTGTCTTTCATTATAGGTGACTGGAATTCAAAAGTAGGAAGTCAAGAAATACCTGGAGTAACAGGCAAATTTGGCCTTGGAGTGTAGAGTTTTGCCAAGAGAGTGCACTGGTCATAGCAAACACCCTCTTCCAACAACACAAGAGAAGACTTGTGTTCAATACAAGAAGACTTGTACACACATGGACATCACCAGATGGTCAATACAGAAGTCATATTGATTATATTCTTTGCAGCCAAAGATGGAGAAGTTCTATACAGTCAGCAAAAACAAGACAGGGAGCTTACTATGGCTCAGATCATGAACTCCTTATTGCCAAATTCAGACTTAAACTGAAGAAAGTAGGGAAAACCACTAGACCATCCAGGTATGACATACATCAAATCCCTTATGATTATACAGTGTATGTGAGAAATAGATTCAAGGGACTAGTTCTGATAGACAGAGTGCCTGATGAACTATGGACAGAGGTTCGTGACATTGTACAGGAGGCAGGGATCAAGACCATCCTCAAGAAAAAGAACTGTAAAAAGGCAAAATGGCTGTCTGAGGAGGCCTTACAAACAGCTGTGAAAAGAAGAGAAGCAATAGGCGAAGGAGAAAAGGAAAGATTTGAATTCAGAGTTCCAAAGAAGAGCAAGGAGAGATAAGAAAGCCGTCCTTAGTGATCAATGCAAAGAAATAGAGGAAAACAACAGAAGGGGACAGACTAGAGATCTCTTCAGAAAATTAGAGATACCAAGGGAACATTTCATGCAAAGATGGGCAGAATTAAGGACAGAAATGGTATGGACTTAACAGAAGAAGCAGATATCAAGAGGAGGTGGCAAGAATACACAGAAGAACTATACAAAAGTTTGCCCAGTATCTATAGAAAGATTTTCACCTTCAAATTAGACTTACTTTTATTTACTGCTTGACCAGCAAGATGAAATTGTAACTAATAATAACATTATCTGTCTTATCAAATTAGGAACCTCCAGCGAGGAAGCCACACAAATGCCTTACCTATCAACACCGTCTCCAGTAACTCCAAAAGCTAAAGGTGATGGTGAGTAATGGCCATTTGTTTTGCCACACCAATTTTCTTTTATCATTCACATACCATAATATTCAGTATTCCATTCAGTACATTTTAGTATATTTACAAGCTTGCATAATCACCTGGAACATTTTCATAACCCCTAAAAAAACTCTAAATCTATCACAATCACTCCCCATTTCACCCTTCCTTTAGTCCCTGACAACCATTACCCTACTTACTACTTTTACAGATTTACCTATTCTAGAAGTTTCATATAAATGGAATCATATAACATATGATCTTTTGTGTCTGGCTTCTTTCACTTACTATAATGTTCTTAGATTCATCCATGCTATAACATATATCTGTAGTTCATACTTTTTTATGATTAACTAGATTTCATTGTGTAAACAGATCACATTTTCTTTATTTATTAGTTGATGGACATTTGGATTATTTCTACTTTTAACCTATTGTAAATAATGATGCTAAGAACATTTATGTACATGTTTTGGTGTGATCATGTGTTTTCATTTCTCAGGTATCGTCCAAATTTAATAAACAAAACTTGAATATTTTAAATACAGTTGATGGGCCAGAAGAGGGCCCTCTTCTGGGTCAATAGCAGAGCCCAACAGGAAGAAAGACCCTCTTCTTTCCTGGCAATTACTCAATGAAAAGCCATACACTTTTGTTTACTATAGCCATTCTCACTTCTTCTTCCCCTCTATAAAACTGTTGTTTCCTCGCTGTGTGGTAACTTGCATGTGGCTCACCATTGTTGCAGACTCTGAATTGCAGTTCTTTTCAGATCCCAAATAAATGCATCTTCGCTGGAGAAATATCTGGCAGTCCATTTGTTTCAGGTCAAAAATGAACAGCTTGATGTGTAATTGTGGAGTCACGTGGTAACACTATGTGTAACTCTGAAGAACTGATTTCCATAGCAGCTGCATTATATTATTTCCCACCAGGAATGAATAAGGGTATCAGTTCTTCATTTTCTAGCCAATACTGTTGTCTCTCTTTTTTGTCATACCTGTTCTAGTGAGAGTGAAATGCTACCTCACTGTGGTCTTGATTCACATTTTCCTAAGGACTGATAATGTTGAGTATCTTAGATGCTCATGGACCATTTATATACCTTGTTTAGAGAAGTATCAGCTCTGTTTGATTCTTCACTATATTTTCCAGCTCTTTATTAAACTTCTCACTGTGATTCACTCCCGAGTTCATTGAGCTTGTCATTCTTCTCCCAAGTTCATTGACCATCTTCATTATCATTACCTTGAGTTCCTTATAATGTAAATTGCTTATCTCCACTTAATATCTTTAGTTGTGGAAAATCTTTTCTGTTAGTCATTCAAAGATGGTTTCTCTGTAAATAGTTGTAATTTCACTATACCTGTAGACAGAGGTGAGCTCAGAATCTTCCTAATCCATCATCTTGTTCACACCTTAGGTTGTATTATCATTTTTAAAGATTATTTTAAAATTATTATTTAAACAGAATGAGTTTCAGAGAGGTTAAATGACTTAAAACAAAAGTGCAAATTCATAATAACAATTTGGAATTTGAAAGTTAGTCTTTTAATTTCAATTTTTTTTCTCCATTGAACTAATTCATAGTCAAATATTATCTGATGAATATTATTATTTGACCTCAACTATCACACTTGGATATTAAATAATGAGCCTTTCAGGTATTAACTGCTTACTTTTCTAACAACACTAAATAGTCACATAATTTTATAACTTTTTCTTTTCTGTTTTTAGTACATGTTCTGATTCTTTCCCTGCTTATAGGATTCTTTTCCCTTTGGGTGAGATTGCTAGTCTGCTATGAATGGTTATTTTAGGTTGCTTCTTTAAGTGGATAACATGTATACACATACATAAATACACAGAAGAAACTTATTAGAATTATGTTTCTAAAAGGGTAAATAAGTCCAAGTAAAAGGTGATATTCCTGGGCATTGTGTAGAAATAGTAGTAGCATATCAATTTCATAATAATGAAAGGTCTTATTATTTCTGCCTACTCTGATCTTGTTCATCTGACTCTCAGTGTGGACAGACAAGGTCTGATTTTAGGACCCTCATTATTAAGGCAATAGTTGTCTAAAATTGTTTGTAATTAGCAGAAACATTTCCTCATAAAATCTTTTGAGGAAGTCCAAAATGTGAATATATCAAACAAATAGAGGTTAAGCCGCTGAGTTTGAAGCTGTGTAGTGGTGGTAAGTGCAGAGTGGACTGCTGGCTATTTCTCTCTCTTACCATCAAAGACAGCCTGCAAGTCTTCCCTACAGAGCCCTTCAGGCTTTAGTGGTACAGTTAAAATTTATTGAGGTAGTCATCATTTTGTTTACTTAAGTTCTATTTATAGTAAAATAAAAAATGAATGTGTTCTGCAACTGGAAAGCAAAGCAACTCTTTTTCACCCATCACCTGACCTGGGAATGACCTCATTGGTAATCATGAATTAGAGTCTTCCAAAGGGGCAGCTCAAGTGTTGAGAAACTTTTAATGTCCTCATAAACATGATTGCTGATTTTTCATATATAATACTTTATGAGTAAATAATATCAATAGATAAGAAAAAATAAAGAAGAAACTCCTACTAGTATTTGCTATGGCTCTAAGAAACACTGTTAAAATAAAGTTTAAGGAAATAGAAAGTCAACATCTATTTGTCAGCGAAGTCTCTAAGAAAGAACAAAGAGATTAGAAAATTACGACATTGCTCCAAGGTCACCAAATATCTCAGCCCTCTTGACTTGGGTGGTGTGCTGTATGTGCTTAGTCGCTTAGTTGTGTCCGACTCTTTGTGACCCCACGGACTGTAGCCCGCCAGGCTCCTCTGTCCATGGAATTCTCCAGGCAAGAATACTGGAGAGGGTTGCCATGCCCTCCTCCAGGGGATCTTCCCAACCCAGGGATCGAACCCAGGTCTCCCACATTACAGGCAGATTCTTTGCCATCTGAGACACCAGGGAAGCATAGAATGCAAAAAGCCACTCTAAGTACAGATATAAGTTTATTCCTAACCCAGGATCAGTCTCAAGTTCCTATAAGCACTTACCTTGGTAAACTGGTTTAGAGAATAGATAGATCTGGAGACGCCTAAACACTCCATTAGGCCAGTCCTAGGCAACAGGGAGCTCTCAGCCATCTGCTCAACCTACTTTTCTAGGGTTACTCTGGGTGGTACTTGATGGTTTGGCAAGAGATGTGCTAAGCACACCATTCGAATAGACCCTAAATGCCTACCTTAGTCCAGCCTCTAAATAATATGGACAAGAAAAAGGGAATATAATATTTACGTAAAAAGAGATGTTCTCCTCTTCCTGTATTCCCCTGGAAGCTTTATACATTGCTTCCTCGCCACTATCCTGTGCTTCTCCGGAATCTTTGGGGACCCATCAGAGTCTCGTTTCATTATCTGAGTTCCTCTTCCTTTGGCATGGGCGTTGGAGGACATGCCATCTTATGTCCTCTTAATTGTTCAGATATCTGGACAACACTCCACATCTTTTTTCCCCTTGGACTTAGCATTTTCACTTATTTTCATTCTGAGATATTCCTTTCCACTCCAAGGGAGGCGTTCTGAAGAGACTGAGCAAAACCTCAAGAGGCTTCTTTTCCAGCCTTTGTCACTGCTTTGGCATATCTCCCTAAGACCACTGGTATACACATTTAGGCTCCTCAGCACCTGTTTATGGGCTCCTCAATGTTACCTCAGAAATCACTTAAATGAATCACGATCAATTAGTTTATCCCAGACTGCCCTCATTGTTACGGGTACAGAGTTTCTATGGGGCATTAGTCCATAAAATGATCCGTGAAAATGGAGTGGCTTGGGTAATTATTTTAGAAAATGCTACCATCTTAGGGCTTTAAAGTGTATAATAACATTTATAAAAATTCTTGGTAATCCATTTGATGTTTTTAAAAAAATCTATGCAGCTCCTAATAGTTTGACTATAGAAGTATTTTTTAACATAAACAAAGCATACCAGAGTACTAGTATTCTATAGCATATGTTTCAGTAAATGTTAACTGTCAAAAATTCACTGATCCCATATTCTATTTCTGAAGACAATACGACCACACAAAAGATTTTGTTATGTGCATTGGATACTGTAAGACAAATTATGTAATTTCAAAGGAATAAAACTGCTTAATCCCCTTCCCTGCACAAGTTAACTCCATAAATCCTCTCTCTCAAGTCAGTCTGCTATAAACACACCTTAAATTCCTAATAAAATTAATGTTCACATTTACTGTTTACTCCCCCAGATTTAATCTCCCAAAATATACAGAATGAATCTCACATTGATAATACCAACACAGATTGTAGAACAGCCCATATTCCTCACACTCATTCTACTTAGTTCTAGTCAATGGTCTAACATAAGACTCTGGTTGGAGTCAAAGTCTCTTCACTACGCTTACCCTCTAGTACTGATAAGACTTTCTCAAGTATCTGTTACATTAGATTCTCTTTATCTCTAGTTAATTATTGTATAAAAATTTCTTATATTTTGTCTTCCATGCATTCCACATATTGTCGTTGTTGTTCAGTTGCTAAGTCATCTCTGACTCTTTGTAACCCCATGGAATGCAGCACGCCAAGCTCCCCTGTCCTCCACTCTCTCCCTGAGTTTGCTCAAACTCATGTCCATTGAGTCAATAATGCCATCTAACCATCTCATCTTCTGTCGTCCCCTTCACTTCTCCCCCTCAACCTTTCCCAATATCAAGATCTTTTCCATGAAACGGCTCTTCACATCAGGTGGCCAAAGTTTGGAGCTTAAGCTTCAGCAACAGTTCTCCAATGAATATTCAAGGATGATTTCCTTTAGGATTAATTGCTTTGGTCGTGCTGTCCAAGGGACTCTCAAGAATCTTCTCCAGCACCACAATTCAAAACATCAATTTTTTGGCTCTTGGTCTTCTTTATGGTCCAACTTTCACATTCATATATGACTACTGGGAAAACCATAGCTTTCACTATATGGATCTTTGTCATCACAGTGATGTCTCTGCTTTTTAATACTCTGTCTAGGTTTGTTATAGTTTTCCTTCCAAGAAGCAAGCGTTTTTAAATGTTCATGACTGCAGTCACCATCTGCAGTGATTTTGGAACCCAAGATAATGAAATCTGCTACTGCTTCCACTTTCCCCCTTCTATTTGCCATGAAGTGGTGGGACCAGAGGCCATGTTCTTCCTTTTTGAATGCTGAGTTTTAAGCCAGTTTTTTCATTCTCCTCCTTCACCCTCATCAAGAGATCCTTTAGTTTCTCCTTGCTTTCTGTCATTAGAGTTATATTATATGCATATCTGAGGTTATTGATATTTCTCCCAGCAATCTTGACTCCAGCTTGTGATTCATCCAGTCTGACATTTCTAATGATGTACTCTGCATATAAGTTAAATAAGCAGGGTGACAATATGCAACCTGATGTATTCCTTTCCCAATTTGGAATCAGTCTGTGGTTCTATGTCTGGTTCTAACTGTTGCTTCTTGACTTCATACAGTTTTCTCAGGAGATGTGTATGGTGGTCTGTTATTCCCATCTCTTTAAGAATTTTCCAGTTTGTTGTGACAGACAAAGTCAAAAGACTTTCTCGTAGTCAATGAGGTAGAAGTAGCTGTTTTTCTGGAATTCCCTTGCTTCCTCCATCTCCATGATCGAGCAAATGTTGGCAATTTGAGCTCTGGTTCCTCTCCCTTTTCTAAACCCAACTTGTACATTTGGAAGTTCTTGGTTCTCGTACTGCTGAAGCCTAGCTTGAGCATGAATTTTCTAGCATGAGAAATGAGTTCAATTGTATAGTAGTTTGGACATTCTTTGGAATTTCCCTTCTTTGGGATTGGAATGAAAACTGACCTTTCCTAGTCCTATGGCCACTGCTGAGTTTTCCAAATTTGCTGATGTATTGAGTGCAACACTTTAATAGAATCATCTTTTAGGATTTGAAATAGCTCAGCTAGAATTCCATCACCTCCACTAGCTTCTTAGTGATGCTTCCTAAGGCCCACCTGACTTTGGACTCCAGGATATATGGCTCTAGGTGAGTGATCACACCATTGTGCTTATCTGGGTCATTAAGACCTTTTTTGTATAGTTCTTCTGTATTCTTGCCACTTCTTCTTAATATCTTCTGCTTCTGTTAGGTCCCTACCATTTCTGTCCTTTATTATGCCCATCTTTGCATGAAATATTCCTTTGGTATCTCTAATTTTCTTGAAGAGATCTCTAGTCTTTCCCATTCTATCATTTTCCTCTATTTCTTTGCATTATTCACTTATGAAGGCCTTATCTCTCCTTGCTTTTCCCTGGAAATCTGCATTCGGTTGGGTATATCTTTCCCTTTCTCCTTTGCCTTTCACTATCTTCTTTCCTCAGCTATTTGTGAGGCCTCCTCAGACAACCACTTTGCCTTCTTACATTTCTTTTTCTTGGAGATGGTTATGGTCACTACCTCCTGTACAATGTTATGAACCTCTGTCCATAGTTCTTCAGGCACTCTACCACATCTAATCGCTTGAATCGATTTGTCACCTTCATTGTATAATTGTAAGGGATTTGATTAGGCCAAACCTGAATGGCCTAGTGGTTTACCCTACTTTCTTCAATTTAAGTCTGAATTTTGCAATAAGAAGTTCATGGTCTTAGCCACAGTTAGCTCCCAGTCTTTTTTTTGCTGACTGTATAGAGCTTCTTCATCTGTGGCTGCAAAGAATATAATCAGTCTGATTTTGGTGTTGACCTTCTGGTGATGTCCATGTGTAGAGTCATCTCTTGTGTTGTTGGAAGAGGGTGTTTGCTGTGACCAGTGCGTTCTCTTGGCAAAACTCTGTGAGCATTTGCTCTGCTTCATTTTGTACTCCAAGGCCTAACTTGCCTGTTACTCCAGGTTATGTCTTGACTTCCTACTTTTGCATTCCAATCCCTTACAATGAAAAGGGCATCTTTTGCTGGTGATAGTTCTAGACAGTCTTGTAGGTCTTCATAGAACCATTCAACTTCAGCTTCTTTGGTGTTAGTTGTTGGTGAATAGACTTTGATTATTGTGATGTTGAATGGTTTGCCTTGGAAATGAACTGACTTCATGCTGTTGTTTTTGAGATTGCACTCAAGTACTGAATTTCAGACTCTTTTGTTGACTATGAGGGTTACTCCATTTCTTCAAAGGGATTCTTGCCCACAGTAGTAGATACAGTGGCAATTCTCGTAAGTAAAATTTTTGGCATTGGAGCCCAGCTAGTCCATTTTCTGCTCTTCTCTTTGTATTTATATAAACTAGGAGCTCCTCTCATCTTTCTTAGCTACATATTCTTTTTCCCCCATCACCAAGACTATTGAATCTGCTTCATACTAGAGAATTCTTTAGGCCATCAGGATAGCTTTTTCATGGTTTCCAATTTTAGTTCAGGAGAAGAATTCTCTGAAGATTTATGAAGAACTCCTGTTCTGATGTTTTCCAAGCATCTTTTCTTGTAGTTCAGTGAAAAGCAAAATCTTTATCCCCATGTTCCTCCATTCTCAAGCATTGAGTTTCTATACCTTTCCACTTCCATGCTATGGCAAAGATCAATTTCTGCTTTCCTGCTATAAGAATAAGACATTCTTTACTTGCTCAAATATTTCCCTCTCAATTTAATACTTCAAGATTCCTCTGAAGTTTGTGCCCATTTTCACTCATTCTTTCTCATATGCAGCATTAATCCTTAGCCTAAGTTCAAATTTTTCACTTTGACATATCAATTCCTAAAGGCTTTTTTTGCCAGAAGACACAGTTACCCATCATCTGTGAGGTCTTTCTACAAACTATCAACTTCTCCAGCATGAATCTCTCAAGTGGAGTAAGAATTTGCAGTACACTATTCATGCCTGGAAAATCCCATGGACCGAAGAGCCTGTGGGGCTACAGTCCATGGGGTCGCAAAGAGTCAGACACGACTGAGCGACTTCACTTTCACTTTCACCTTCATAGATGCTTAATGCCACAGAATGAAACCTGATTGGTGCTTCTGGAAGTTACCCACAATTCAGGCTTCCAGACCTCTTTGTGATGGAAATCTATTAAACTGTTTTCCCCTCATCTCCAAACACCATATCTAGCTAAAGTAACACTAGTCCTATGCCAGACTTTGAAAAACCTGGAGGTCATTGATCATTTTGTTTTATAATATTCATGCAAATATAGATGATTTAAAATACCCCAATGCTATTTTTGAAAACTCAGCTTATTTTTCTTTGTTTTTCTGTTGTTAAATTTCCTTCCCCACTCCCTAAAATGAACTAAATATAATTAAAAGTTTATTCTATTCACTTCCTGTCATCTCTTTCCTCCTAGCTACCCCACCTACCTGAAAATTATCTCCTAGACAGCATGAGAGCCATGGTACCATTTTCAACTACTACTACTGCCTTACCATCCCCTTTCTACGGTAGCTGAGAACCAGTTTCACATCGGGAAAAATTTGGCTTGCTCCCATTATATGACTGTGGGAAAATTCTATAACTTTTCTGAGTCATACATAAAATTATGATCATAGTTACTAGTTAATTCATAGAATTACCATTGTGATCAAATGAAATAACCTATATCAGACAAATAGGAGAGTCTAATCTCCCTCCACTTTAAAAAATGTAATTAACTGACTCACCAAAAGGTAGACATCAAAACACTGAATTTCTATACCTTGATCAGAAGACTTTAAGTAGCTAATCTTCAAGTTGTAACTAGATGCTTATATTAATATTAATGATACAATCTAGTGATTGATTACACCCCTGATGGCTACTCATTCTTTTTTCATAATTAGGAGCTAGAACCGAAAACATCACGGAGACCAAGTTGAGTACTACAAAAGCAACAGTGATAAGCCAGTCACTTTCAAATGCTGTTTCCACATCACAAAGTTCCGACTCCAAGAGTAAGTATAAGAATCTGTGCTGAAATGTTAAACTAGTATATTGGATAGAACTAAACTCAGAAAGTTTTCCAGCCCACACTTACCAAAGAGCCATGTCTCACTTATATTCTTCCCTTGTTGTTGTTGCTTAGTTGCTAAATTGTGACCAGCTCTTTTGTGACCCCATGGACTGTGGCCAATCAGGCTCCTCTCTCCATGGGATTTCCCAGGCAAAAATACTGGAGTGGCTTGCCATTTCCTTCTTCAGGGAATCTTCCTGATCCAGGGGTCAAACCCACATCTATTGCACTGGCCGGTAGGTTCCTTACCACTGAGCCACCAGGAAAGCTTGTGTTCTCTCCTAATCTCTACAAATAAGACAACAATTTGGCAACTTTGCTTTGTATAGTAACACTCTACCCCTCCATAGCTACAAATAAATGGATGCCAAGGAGGATCAGTTGAAGCCTGGGTGATAATCTATGATATCACCTAACACAAAAAGGTAAGGTTGGCCAAAGCATTAGACAACTTTGATGAAATAGGAAAAAAAATTAGAAAGGAACAAATTGTTAAAACTTACTCAAGAAGTTAGGAAGACTGAAAAGACCTAAAACAAATTAAGATTCTGTATTAAAATTTAAATGAAGAAAGCTCCAAGCAGAATGGCAAAAATTGTGAATTCTATAAAAATATTCTCAGAAGTAATACTAATTTTTCTCAAACTCTTTTGTGACATAGAGGAAACTTTGCACAAATAATTTTCTGAGGCCGGTATTGCCATAACATCAAAGATAGAAAAGAATGAAAAGAAAATGCAAATAAAACTATAGACCAATATCCTTCATGAACACAGACACAAATATCCTTAATACAATATTAGAAAAAATCAGTAGCATATGAAAAGAGATAAAAACATGAACAAATAGGATTTACTTAGGAATGCAAAGTTGGTTTAAGATATGAAAATCAAGTGATGTAATATACCATCTTAGTAGAATCAACAAATGCAGAAAAAGTATTTGACAAAATAAGATACTGACTCAATTAAAACTCTCAATTAACTAGAAATAAGTAGAACTTCCTCAAATTGATCAAGGATCGCTATAAAAAATACATAGTAAATGTCTTACTTAATAATGAAAGACTAAATATTTTCCTCTTAAAATCTGAAACAAAACAACTATGTCTACTCTCATCAATACTATTCAAAATTATAACCAGAAGTTCTTTATACTACAATAAGATTATAAATAGATAGATGGAGATAGGAACATTCATCCAGATTGGAAAGGACAAAATAAAAGTTTTTCTCAGCAGACTACATCACTATCTATATAGAAAGCCTGAAGATTTCACAATAAATCTACGAGGACTAATAAAGAATATTATATACCATTCATACTATATTCTATACCACAGGAAATAATTCCATTCATAGTAACATCAGAAAGAATAAAATATTTAAAAGTAAATGTAACAATAGAAATCCGAGATTTGTACACTAGACTAGAAAACACTTCTCTGAGAAATTAAATATCTAACTGGAAAAATTTCCGAGCTGGGGAACATGTGACCATTTTTTCACAGGAGAGGACATGGGAGCATCACGTCCTTTCCCATACCTTGCCCTGCGCATCTTTCATTTGGCTGTTCCTGAAGTATATCCTTTTATAATTAGTGATCTAATGAGGTAACTGAAAGTGAATCATCAAGAGAGATTGTTTCCATCAGTAGGGCTAGTAGGTACCAGAATTAACAACTTAGCATATCTGATTATTTGCCCTGTGTTCTTGTCTTTATTCCATGCTGCTACCTCCTTAGGTATTTTTGTTGTAGATCAGATAGTCACGTGAGCACAGCTGAACTGAGTAAGGCTAGTCAGTGATACCTAGCACATCATCTGGAGGGGCTCTAGTGGGTTCTAGGACTCTAAAATGGACACATGATGGGATCAGTTTCCGGGCAAGAGGAGCAAAAGGACTAAGGGACCCCCAAAACCCAGAGCAGAGCTGAACCCCTTCTGATCACAATCTCTGAATTTTCACACTGTGGAGCCTGGCATCAGAGCACATCTGGAAGACATGGCACATATGAGTCAGCAGGCCAGACACAGCAGGGCAGAGAGGGGAGGGCAACTAGTGTGTTTTTAATGTGATGCACACATGATTTAAATAATTCATTTATTTTTGCATTATGTGAAGAGACCACTTGTTAGTTTTAGTGATTTAGACAAGCCCACTAAGCATCAAAATAGAAAAATTTTCATTAGTACTTGAGCAAAGACATCAGATTTTAAAACATTACCGCCAGTGTGAAAGTGCTAATGAGATGCAAAAGTGGCGTCATTCTGATTCTGACTTTAGCCACACAAAGCCATTTCCAGGGTTCAAAAGAAAGAAGAAATTGTGGTGGGGGTGTATAACATGTGATTTTAGTTGCTGCTGTATGTTTAAAAAATTTTAAAAGCCTATGATATGTGTTTTGAACATTTACTTGTTTTATACCATAATAATCTACCATCAATTTTCAAAACAAATGTATTTGCTTCTAAGTATATAACCATCAACAAAGACAGAAATAGAAAATAATTAAATGCAAACAGAAGACACTTGACCTAACCATATGTGAATTGTTAATAAAGCACACAAAAAAATGCAAAAAGAATCCAAGGTCTTTAAACAGCATAGTCTTAACTGCACACCCTCCCCAGAAGAATGGATTAAGATAGGGAGAGAAAAGAAAAACACTGAAAAGAAACCTTGAACTTCACTTGATGAATTTGTTTTATTGAAATGAATATATTAGCTCTAAATACTTGATACAAGTGAAAAAACAGATGTGTTCTCAAGGTGAAAAGGGGAGATACAAATACAGAATGGGGGAAGGAAAGTTAAACATTGCACTATCAGATTGAAACTGAAGGCATCAGCATAAATTCATCATTAAAATACAAATATGTAAAATTGCAAAGAACATAAAATAAATAGACACTACATGTTCATAGATTGGAAGACTTGATGTTTTAAGATGACAATTCTTCTCAAGTTGATCAGTAACTGATAAAATAGTCAGTGCAATTCCTATTAGAATACCAGAAAGTTTTTTTTTTTTCTAGAAATAGATAAGCCAATCCTAAAATATATATGGGCTTCCCTAATAGCTTAGTTGATGAAAGAATCTGCCTGCAATACAGGAGATCCCAGTTCAGTTCCTGGGTTGGGAAGATCCACTGGAGAAGGGATAGGCTACCCACTTCAGTATTCTTGGGCTTCCCTTGTGGCTCAGCTGGTAAGGAATCAGCCGCATTGTGGGAGACCTGAGTTTGATCCCTGGGTTGGGAAGATCCCCTGGAGAAGGGAAAGGCTACCCATTCCAGTATTCTGGCCTAGAGAATTCTGTGAACTGTATAGTCCATGGGGTCGCAAAGAGTTGAACACAACTGAGCAACTTTCACCTTCACTTTCAAAATATATATGGAAGTGAAAGTGACCTAGAATAGCCAAAACACTTTTGAAAAAGAACAGTGTTGGAAGACTCAAACCACCCCCAATTTCAAAACTTACTCTAAAGCTATAGTAATCAAAACAGGGTATGGTGAGTTAATGAGTGTTAAGAGTAGCATTATTCATAATTATCAAATGCTGAAAACAACTCAAGTGTTCATTAATTGGTGAAATAAAATATCTCATTGGATTTTCCATTTGAGATGAATTTGGAATGTTCCAAAACGTGGGATATCCATATAAGACAATACCATTCAACAATTTGAAGATACAAAACACTGATGCATGCTGTAACAGCATGAATCTCAAATACATTATGCAGTGAAAGAAGTCTTTCACAAAATACAACATATACAATTCCATTTCTGTGAAATATCCAGGATATTTTTATAGGGACAGAAAGCAGATAAGTGGTTGCCTGCACCTGGGGACCAGCCTGGGGACTGACTGCAGAAAGGCTCAAGGAAGTTTTTTACACTGAAGAAAATGTTCTAAAACTGGGTTATAGTGATGGTTCGATGACTCTATAAATTTACAAAATATTATTGGGTTGTATACTTACAATGAGTGGATCAAATGGCGAGTTTTCACCACTTGAATATAAATATTCTTTTTAAGAACAAAAACAAAATGTTGATCTAGGCCAATCAAATTTCATTCCTGGGTAATCTGAACTGAACTAGAAAACCCAAACAAACCAAAAAGCAGGGGGAACTGGAGCAGCACAGTGTTAGTAGAGAATCTGAAATGGCCATAGTGATTCGTGCGTTTGCCTCTGGCTTCAGGAGGCTGAGTTGGCAGAGTCAGTAGTGAAGACTGCTGACTATAGAGAGACTATGTGGGGAAATGGAGAGATGAGTAAGGTTAAGTTGTTCAAGAGACACGGAAAAAGTAGCAGGACCTGGAGATCTTCTGATTCCTGACAGATCTTTAGTTCCAGTCCACACATTTCTCCACAAGTACTTCCCTTATTCTGACCTCCATGATTTGAAGTAATCTGTGTGTTTAGTCAAAATATCCTGACTAGAAAAGATACTAATCATCTATAAGAGCCTTTTCAAATCCCGCTCATTATACATACTAGATGCATTTTTGGCATACCCATAGTCCTTAAATGGAGAAGGGCATGGCTACCCACTCCAGTATCCTTGCCTGGAGAATCCCCATGGACAGAGGAGCCTGGGGGGCTACAGACCATGGAATAGCAAAGAGTCGGCCACTACTGAGCAACTGAGCACATAGTCCTTAAAAAGATATCTCTACAGCTGACTCTCACTCTCCAAGTCTCTTCTTAGGAGACCTCTAAGATAGAAGGAGACAGCAAGTGGGAACTGTGGACATGCAAGGCTCACTCTTGTCTAGAATCACGTTGGGAACATCCATTTTCCCCCTTTCTATTGTAATCATCTTAGACATGACATGAAGAAGGTTATTTAGAAGTCTGATTCCACACCATAATTGTAAATTAATAATTGTACATAATTAGTTGCCATGTTCAGAAATTTGAAGAGGAGG